AAATTGATTGACTGATTGATTGAATAAATGAATGAATGAATAAATAAATAGCTAGGCCAACTGAAGCATATAAATAGCTAGGCCAACCTCCAAAGATGACCAGAGTGGGTGGGTAGGTTCTATGGGAAAAGTTGGTTCTTATGTTGGTTCCAGGCCATACAGGGCTTTAAAGGTCAATACCAGCACCTTGAATTGTGCCCAGAAGTAAATTGGAAGCCAGTATAGATGGAACAAGACTGGAATAATATGATCCCTACAACCCACTCCAATCAACATTTGGGCTGCAGCATTCTGTACCAGCTGCAGCTTCTGGACAGTTTTAGGCACAGGCCCACATAGAGTACATTGCAGTAGTCAATTCTAGATGTTACCAGGGCATGCACCACCTTATCCACCTTAAGTCCCAGTTGCCTGGAAAAAAGGTGAACTTGTAATGTTATAAATAAATTAAAATAAATAATAATTCATGCAGCAAGTGTTTCTATTTTGGTATTCCTTCCCTTCCCACTTGATCTTTATCTGAGACATTTCTTTCTAGATTTCTAGCCACAGTATCTTTTTGAAATCTGTTTTCAGGGTGGCCATTGGCATCTCTCCATGCTGGAACCTCAGTGCTAACCATTCCCAGAAGACAGAGCTGGAGCCAAAAGCTGTGGGTGGTGACAGAATTCCTCGATCTGTGTGCACTCCAAGAGATACTCTCTTGGAAGCAAGACTGCCTTAGAGAAAGCCCTGGCACCACACTATTACAAGGGCAATGTGTGCCTTGGACCAGATGGTGACTATCTTGAGCATGGCCTCCAGCCCAGGCCTCAGAGTCCAGGGCATGTTGTGGGTTTTTGTGAGCAGTATCTGTTCAGCTCTTGAGTGTATGTTTACATTTCTCATATGAAAACAGGGAATCTGAGGTTACTGTTGTGCTGGAAAAATGTCAAAACTCAATTGGCAATATCCCACTAAACCACAAGTTTGTAGGAGAAAAAAACAAAACCATCAGATTTTCAAAACCATGTCTGTATGCTTTTACAGAAAATATATACAATATAGGTCAAGCCATGCTCATATAGTTGTGGAAGGCCTGAAAGTAATTCAAATGTGGAAATACTACCCCATGCTGCTCAGTGAATCAAGGGAAAACAAATCTTTATTATTTCAGAATTCACATAATGTACAGGAACACTATTCTCTTTCTGCCCCTCCCCTTCCCTTTTTGTTTCTCTTTTTTAAATGGTCTGATTTTGCTCTCAGATATGTTTTATTGTTTGAGGGAACATGTGTTTTACAGACCTGTCATGTGAAAGCTATTAAAAAGAGGAATTGGAACAATAACAATAAGCCACGTAACCATGGTATGGTTACTTTGCAAAGTTTGACTGTTAAACTGCTACTTCTAGTGGATGTGAAACCAGATCGCATTGTGCAGGGCTAGCCTTTTGGCAGCAGTTTTTCATTGAGGTACTAAGGGATCTAAAAAGCAGGCTATTAATATCCTTTATTGTTGGCTCAGGAGAGAGATTTTTGTGTACAAATTGGCACTGTTCCAATATGTTTCAGGTAGTAGAATGAAGATAGTCTGGATCTGCATGATATATTTGATTTGCAAATACAGAGATTGGTTGGAAGAGAAACACTTATTCACTGTTTTACAAGCATGTTGCCAAACAGGCAGTTCTTATACAGTTAGCCTTTTTATATCATTTGCGAAGTTACCACTTATTCCCTCTATAAGAAAGCACTCCACAGTAGAAGATTACTGGCCAAAATTTAATGATAACAATGTGTTCTGTAATTTTTTACAAATTGACATTTATATAATGTCAGATTAAAGTCAGATTAATCTGAAAAACACTTAGAAATGACAGCAAATTTCTAGTAATCTCACAAAAGAACTCATAGCATACATAAAAGGTGCCCTCCTAATTTTTTAAAAAAAATCTAGGTCAACATCTGATCAGTAATTATAGTTCATCCGTAAAAAGTGTCACAAACTAACAGAACAAAATACACATTTATTTCCAAAATCTGTTCATGATTACTTTTATGTATTTTTTTAAAAAAACTACATTAAAAATAGAAATATCCTATAGCATTATTTTGTAAAACTAATGTTTTAATGTTATTGATTAATACAAAAGTCAGTTTTATTACTTACTTCACATACAATCCATCTTCTGCTAACACTCTGTTGGTGTTCTTCTGGTACCCTTTTCTTTCTCCCCCTCCCCCCATAATGCATGTAAATCCCCCCCCATAATGCATTCTACCTGCTCGAATTATCTTTACTTCACTTTTAAGATGATGTTATCATTTTGAAAGTGGTCAGTATTTTATTTATTGATTGATTGATTTGGACCTGTTGACCCCACCTTTCTCATACAAAGAAGAAAAAGTACTACATAGTAAGTCATTAAACAACAATCAATGAACTATCATATACCCAACAATCCAGACACTACTAGCAGACCCTGCTGAGGTTAATGGAGTTGCCACATGGATTTGTATGGGTGGAGGTGGTCCTTCAGGTATGTGGGTTCCAGATCTGACTTGAACTAGTAAATGAATTAGGCAGCCAATATAAAGATTTCAAAACTCGTGTTTAATTAGTAAAATGGTCTGGCTCAGTTAGTAATCAAGCTGCTGATGTTTGGATCAACCACAGTTTCTGAGTTCTTTTCGATTATATCCCCATGTAATTAAAGCATGTTACAATACAAGTCACAACCTTACTATAGTGTGGATCAGCATGGCTAAATTGACTAACATTAAAAGGATATAACTGGAAAAAATGCCTTTTTAGCCACCTTTCAAACATTTTTATCCATGTTAAAGTATAAAGAGAAGGTTTTGTTTTGTTTTAAAATGTGAAGATAAATGTTTTCTTATGACTCTTTAGGACAATATTTCCCATACAGTAAAGTTTATCCCTGCCTTCATTCATATACAAATACAAAAAAATTAATGACGACCAGCAGAAATTTTGGCTGCGTGGATATTTCAAATTTTGAAAACATCTGAGAAACTTTGAATTCGGGGGAAGTCTGAGATTAAATTAATTGAACTTCTCAATCAGAGGTGTCGAACTCATTTGTTACGAGGGCCGGATATGACATAAATGTCACTTTGTTGGGCCGGGCCATGTGTGCCATAAACATAACGCCAGGTACTGGAGATATTAAAATGTGTAAAGAACAGCATCTGGTAAGCTCTCAGTTGGTGTATCCTCACTGCAATGCCCCATGGAGTGGCAGGGGGGTACAAAGGAAAACCCATATGGGCAGACTTGAGAGCCAGTGGTTCAGCACTGGGCAGATGCCCCCACACTGCTTGATTGCTGCAGATGAGGTTGTTCTGCCATGCTGAAGCCACAGAGTGGTTCCCCCACTCCCCCCAAGCAGTCTCCTGTTCCCTCCCTTGCACTAGTTGGTCGCAGATCACATAAGAGCCCTGGATGGGTCTGTTCTGGCCCCTGGTTCTTATATTTGACACCCCTGTTTTAAATCTAGTCAGAGTAAGCATATCAGTGACATAATTAAATATTCACTGTCTTTCCACCTTTCTAGATCTGGGGCCTGTTTGTGGTTTTGTTTTGTTTCTGGGGTTTTTTTTTGGTATTTTTATATGTGCATGTGTGTACGTGTGCATGTGTGTGAGTGTGTGGACCTGGAAGACATGGTGACCTCTGGTGACTGACCCCTACTAGGGGCCTGGAGGATATTCAGAGAGGTGGCTGAGTAAATCCTGCCCCTGCCTCCCACCTCTGGTATTTCAAGGAGGTCTCCCATCCAAGTACTTGCCAGAGTTGACCCTGCTTAGATTCCAAGATCTGACAAGATTGGGCTTGCTGGGCTATCCACCTTTCTAGATCTGGGGACTGTTTGTAGTTTTGTCACTTATCTGTCCTGGTTTATTTTGCCATTCTTCCTTGGGGTAAGGGAAGGGGCTCATCTCTTAATTTATACTGCGCTTCACTGTCCAGAACCACTGAGTGTCTCTGAAGTTCAGTGTGATTTTAGAGACAAGGCCCTGCTTCCTCCACAAGGAAGCATGAAAACAAGAATATCTGAGTTAAATGTATTCTTTATTTAGTTATCACATTAGCAGTGGACAGAATAATAGGAACTATCTGCATGCTGACAAGTCTCTTAGTTCTACTATGGTATCTAGTGATACTATTTTTTAACAATAATAGTAATAATATTGCATACATTTAACAGCTGTCATTTCGATCTGTTGAACGCTATGGAGAGAGCATTTAATGGTCTGTGATCAAGTAGTAAGGCTTGTTTTCAGTTTTGTGTGTGTGTGGAATTTCCACTTATCTACTACCTTGTCACCATTATGCTCTATGATGAAAGAAAATTTGTTAGAGGTGTTGTTTGTTGGATAGACATGTCTATGGATAAGTATATATGGATGTCCTTCAGGGAAAGTTGAGCTGCATATCTTCACTGGGTTCTTCCCAGTGGAGGGGTCATGATTTAGAGGTAGACCATCTGCTTGGCATGCAGATGGTCCCAAGTTCAATCCCTGGCATCTGCAGTTAAAGGATCTGACTAGGTTTGTCAGCCTCCAGGTGAGGCCTGGAGATCTCCTGCCTTTACAACTGATTTCCAGCTGACAGAGATCATCTCCCCTGGAGAAAATGTCTGCTTTGAAGGGTGGACTCTATGGCACTGTACCATGCTGAGGTTCCTCCCCTCCCCAAACCCCACCCTCTCCCAAATCCACCCCCAAAGCCTTCAGGTATTTTCCAACCCATAGCTGGCAACCCTAGATATGACAGTAGGTGATGTGAAAGACTTCAGCCTGAAATCCTTGAGAGCTGCTGCCAGTCTAAGTAGACAATACTGATCCTGATGGGCTGAGTCAGTATAAGGCAGCTTCCATGTGTTCATATGTTTCCACTGGTCAGTGATTTCTGTTGCAGATGCCATAAATTGTTCAGTGCTTGCTTGAGTTTCTGATTACTCTTCTGTTTCTCTTGTTCTTCTCCCTACTAGCTGGACTCCCATTTCTGATCATTGAAACAAGCACAATTGCACCCTATGAACGAGGATTTTACTGTAACGATGAGAGTATCAGCTATCCCTTGAAAAGTGGAGAGACCATCAACGATGCTGTCTTGTGTGCTGCAGGCATTCTCATAGCCATACTTGCTGTAAGTAGGACTGTACTCTGTGGGTATTTCCTAATCAAGTGACAATAGAACAGCTCCTCTATTGAAAGTTATTTCAGAATTTTACATTTAGTATCATGCTGGATATCTGTTTTTCCTGTAGTTCATATTTATTGTAGTTCGGTGGCTTATCAATGTTAGTTTTTTAAAGCTTATTGCCATTAGAAACTGATGATCTTTTTTGTAAAATAAGCCAAAACTGGATAGCACTTCAGCTGGTATGGTTCATTCAAAGGTCAGAGATTCTATCTTATTTATAGCCTGCCTTTCTTGCTGAGACTCAAAGTGGATTACAAATTATAAAAGCAATGCAATCAAACAGCAAAAAGCATCCAGTGAACAATGCAATCTCTCTCTCTCTCTCTCTCTCTCTTTCTCTCTTACACACACACATATATAACAAACTAGCTGTACACAGAGAAGTAATAGAACTAGTTCTGATTAGACCTAAAACTGCCTTGGAGATTATATTGTTACTTTTAAGCACAAATCACTAAACAGATCAGATTAATTTTCACATCAGTTGGTTCAAGAAGCTGGGATCTTATCCAGCTCCGATAATGATATTAGTGAATTAACCAGGGATCTCATAAAAAGAATACTGTTAATTATCTGATACAGGGATATGTAAACATCAGGCAAATAAACTCAGAACTGGGAGCGGTGAAGTCATTTCAAAACCACATAAGCAAACCAAATCCTGTCAACTTCATAGAACAAACAAGGTAGCAACCACTTCATTTTTCAGCAATTGCAAGTTCCCAGGCAAAATAGAATTTAGAGTCATTAAGGATTTAGTGTGCTTTGTCCACATTCAGATAATTTTTGTGGTATTTACTTATTCTGTATTTCATGCTTAGTTATGAAGTATGTTCTCTCTTTCAGCCAACAACTGGCTGAAAATGTTTCAGACATTAAGTTATGACATGTACTAAACCTGGCATGTTTTAAAGAAATATGAGACCTAGATGGAAGAAGGGCGAAGTTTCTATGTTTGCAGCTTTCCTCATATTATAAAATATAATTCTGTTTGCGTATCCTTTTCTTTTGGATTTATGCTAATATTTTCTCATTACTGAATAAAACACTGCTGAGGATCTTATATTTCTTTTAAGCAATAAGAGATTTACTGCAGTGCTGCCATGTGAATGGATTCCACATACATCATTGCATTAGTGAATACTTTCCTAATATTATTAATTATTTTATTGTTTACTTAATAATTACCTACTTTTCCCCCAATGAGGACCAAAAGCAGCTTACATTGCTTTTCTCCACCTAAAATTGCAAGTGAACAGCAAGATTAAACAAAATAATTATTACCACATTGGCTAAAGTTTGAGTCCAGTGGCACCTTTTGGATCAGGGGTGTCAAATGTGCGGCCTGCAGGCCAGATCAGGCCTGCACAGAGCTGCAATCTGGCCCAAAAGCAGCTGACTCTGTGCTGCTTCCTGCTTCCTGTATCTATCATTGCAGCTCCTTCTGGCCATTTTCTCCTAGTTCCTGCTTCATAGGAGAAAAAGAAGCCTTCCCTCAATTGGCTGAGGGCTCTTCCCTTCTCCCCCTCCGGGGAGGGGGGGGGAAGAACCAGAGAGAGATGAGAAAATGGCATCTCATGGGACTTCTAAGAAAACCAGCAATGTTTTATTCCAGGTAGAAGAACACTTTTTTTTTCAGAGGGAGGGAGGGAGCACCCCAGAAAAACAGTCCTTTGTTTACAACCCCAAAATGTTTTTATTCCAGGTATGAGGGGGGAGTCCTTTGTTTAAGAACCAAAAATATTTTATTCAAGGTATATGAGAGAGACAGAGAGAGAGAGATATCATCCCATGGAACTTGTACAGATCCCCCTTTCCATTTCTAACAGATGGGGGGGAGAGAAACTTAGCACCACAGCTTGCATTCCTCATTAGTGAAAGGGAGCAAGAGTACAGCAGCACCTTAATGATTAACATAATTTGTGGCAGGGAATGAGCTTTCATGAGTCACTGCTCACTTCTTCAGATACAGCTGAAATGTGATTCCATCTGTCCTTATATCTTGGAGAGTGAAGTGATTTCAGACGCCAAAAGACAATAGCAGGCATTGGTAATGAGAGAAGAAACCTAGGTCTTAATTCAATCCAGGAGTTTGCGTTGTCTTGAGCCTCATGATCAGTTGCAATTCAGCACTCTCTTTTTCTAATCTCCCTTTGAAATTCCTTTGTAAGAGAACTGCTAATCTTAGGTCAGCAACTGAATGCTCTGGAAGGTTAAAATGTACCCCCACTGATTTTTGAATGCTGTAGTTTCAAATAGTGGTAGAAAGAGTAAGAGTCTAGAAGCACCTTAAAAGATTAACAAAATTGCGGGAGGGTATGTGCTTTTATGAGTCATTGCTCAATTCTTGAGACTTATTTCCATTTATTCTTTGCATCCTGTGGATTGAATCCTCCTGTAACAAACTGAGACCTAGGTTTCCTGTCTCATTACCAATGCTGATATTTCCACGCCTCTGCATATCACACTTAACACAATCATGCCTGCTATTGCCATTCAACATCTGAAATCATCTTTATAAAGTTTATATCTCTGGTGCTTGTGTTACATTTTATGGCACACATGGCCTAACAAAGTGACATTTATGTCAGATCCGGCCCTCATAACAAATGAGTTTGACACTTCTGTTTTGAATGGTTCACTTACAATTGTTGTTCAGTCGCACAGTTGAGTCCGACTCTTCGCGACCCTACTTACAATAGCTCTGCTTAGAAACCATGAGGTAGTATAAGAGTAAGGAACCAAAAGTTCACCTAGTTGAGATCTTTCCCCATAGTCGGTACCAGTTACTTATATCTTCCATGCACACATTCCATCCCACCGTACCTATTTCAATATGTTAAAACCAAAGAGAAGATGTTTTAGTGGAAACAGCTGCAGAAGCAGGGCTGGCCCTAGCCACTTTGGTGGATGAGGAGGAAAATCAATCCCATATGACTCCAGTCCCCTCAACAGAACTTGTACAGGAGAAGTTGGAGGTGGATTGTGCCAGGCACATAAGATTGTGACCCACCTGTGTCCTTTAAGGGCACCTAGAATCTACATCCTGGAAGGGGCTTCTCAGCCCAAAAAATTTAAACCACATACTTTCCTACCTGTAAGCAAAAGGACACCTCTGTTTCACTGACCTTACTGATCTTGGCAGATAGTAGCTGTGAGGTTGGCTGGGCTGGAGTAGGGGTCAACTCTTTTGAGGGCTGAGATGGATGTTGTAGCTGAAGCTGGGGCTGTAGACTGTGTGTGGGTGTCTGGTGAATCTGCCCCAGCATTGTTACATTCACTGGGTCACTGGTCTACATTTCAGTTTCCTAGCCAGGAGGCAAGAAGATATTGAAATCCATGATCAAGTCTGGATGTCCTTTGAACAGCTGAGATACATGGCTGATCACCCCTAGAGTGTCAATGATAACAAAAGATTAAATGCATACTGGACAAGATGGTTTGCATTACTAGTTATAGCATGAGAGAAGGAATGTTTGCGACAATGGCAATTTGCAAAGTAAACAGTCAAATTGTAAACAACCAGAGTTTTGATCCTGAAAAGAAGGGTTTCAGATCTTAGTTGTGTTGCTCTCCACTCTTGTTGTTCCTTCTGACCCTTCAGAACTGGATTCATGTGGGTTGGGTGGCTTCATTGGGGAGGCCAAGGGAGCAAAATTGCCCTATTACCTCTTCCATCACCAGCAGTCTGTTGATGGAACAGCTATTTTGCCCATTTCCACTTCTCACAGCAGCTGCACAGTCTGCAAGGCTATTCATACATTCAGGTCCTGCAGTTCATTGAAATTACTTTCCAGGGTTGGAAGCAACTGTTGAGGGAAGGGAAACACAGCAAAGATCAGCTGTTCCACTGGCTGTTGATAGGATATAATTTTGTAGTGTTTAGCACCAGGGTTTCCACTTTTCAAGGCAACTGAATAAACACAAATAATCATAAAAGGAGTTCTAATTCCATAAAGGACCCATTAGAATTTAGTCAACATAAGAACATAAGATAAGCCAATGTTGGATCAGACCAATGGCCCATCTAGTCCAACACTCTGTCACACAGTGGCCAAAAATACCAGGTGCCATCAGGAGGTCCAGCAGTGGGGCCAGGACACCAGAAGCCCTCCCACTGTTGCCCCCCCCCAAGCACCAAGAATAAAGAGCATCACTTGCACCAGCCTGAGAGTTCCTATCTATCCCTTGTGGCTAATAGCCACTGATGGACTTCTGCTCCATATGCTTATCTAATTCTCTCTCGAAGCTGTTCATGCTTGTAGCCACCACCACCTCCTGTAGCAGTGAATTCCATGGGTTAATCACTCTTTGGGTGAAGAAGTGCTTCCTTTTATCTGTTCTAACCTGACTACTCAGCAATTTCATGGAGTGCCCATGAGTTCTTGTATTGTGAGAAAGGGAGAAAAGTACCTCTTTCTCAACCTGCTCTATCCCATGCATAATCTTATAAACCTCAATCATGTCACCCCTGAGCTGTGGTTTCTCCGAGCTAAACAGCCCCAAGCATTTTAACCATTCTTCATAGGGAAAGTGTTCCAATCCTTTTCTCATTCTTGTTGCCCTTTTTTGTACTTTTCCCAATGTTATAATATCCTTTTTGAGGTGTGGTGACCAGAAATGTACACAGTACTACAAATGAAGTTGCACCATTGATTTATACAGGGGCATGATGATACTGGATGATTTGTTTTCTATTCCCTTCCTAATAATCCCCAGCATAGCATTGATTTTTTTAAATTGCAGTTGCACACTGTCTCAACATTTTTAGTGAGTATCTACTACGACCCAAGATATCTCTCTTGGTCAGTTTCTGCCAGTTCAGACCCCATCAATGTGTATTTATATTTAGGAGTTTTGGCTCCAGTGTGCATCACTTTGCACTTGGGCACATTGAATTCCATTTGCCACATTGACGCCCACTTGCCCATTCTTGACAGATC